TTGCTCTAGGGAGAGTAATTATTGTAATGTATTCACACTAAACAATCATTTAGAGTGTATGGGTATAGTATAATCCATGAAAATGCTCAAGAAAAGCTGTAGCTAGCAAAAATTAAGAGTAGAAAGGCAAAGAAGTATGAGAGGGTTAGGAGTATCAGTATCTATCTTACACCCTAGTGAGGAGCTAATGTATTTTAAAAAATATTTTCGAAGGTTAAAATATAAGAAATTGATATTTAAAGTACTTAAATTATATTATTTAAATTACAAAGTCTACTATGAAAGAACTAAAATACCAGGAGAAAATAGTTTAAATTATATAAATCTTCGTCTATCATAAGACAGGTGAATATGCAATGTCCACATCTGATAAAACAGTGATAGAGACATTTTATTTTACTTAATTAATTTTTTTGATCAAAGTCTCACTCTGTCACCCATGCTGGAGTGCAGTGCACACTCTCAGCCACCGTTGCCTCAACCTGCTGCGAGACGATCCTTCTGCCTCAGCCTTCCAAATAGCTGGAACTACAGGTGTGTGCCACCACACCTAGCTAATTTTTAAAATTTAATTTAGGTCTCACCAAGTTGCACAGGCTGGTCTCAATCCCCTAGGCTCAGGCAATCCTCTTGCCTCTGCTTCCCAAAGTGCTGGGATCTTACAGGTGTGAGCCATTGTGCCCAGCCCGGAGACGTTTTGATTATTTGTGCAGGTTTGTTACATGGGTATATTGCGTGATGGAAAGGTTTGGGCTTCTATTGAACCTGTCATCCTGGTGGTGAGCATAGTACCCAATAGGTAGTCTTTTAACCCATATTCCTCTTTTATCCTCTCCATATACACCCAGTGTTTAGCTCTCACTTATATGTGAGAATATGTGGTATTCAGTTTTCTCTTGCTGTGATAATTCACTTAGAATGACACCTTCTTGCTGCATTCGTGTTGCTGCGAAGAACATAGTTTCATTCTTATGACTGTGTAGCTTTCCATGGTGTATATGTACATTTTCCTGATCCAGTCCATTGTTGACGGGTACCTAGGTTGGTTCCTTGTTTTTAGTATTGTGAAAAGTGCTGCAATAAATATAACAAGTGCAGGTGTCTTTTTGGTGGAACATTTTATACTCCTTTGGGTATATACTCAGTAGTGGGATTGCTGGGTAGAATGGTACATCTACTTTTATTTCTTTGAGAAATCGCCAAACTGCTTTCCACAGGGGCTGAACTAGCTTACATTCCCACCAACGTGTGAGTGCTCCCTTCTCATGGAGACACTTCATTGACATTAACTTGTAAATGCAGAGGCAATCACTCAAACAGACAAAAACAGGTTACAGTGCTTGCTTATGGGAATTGAAATTTGAAATGTGATAGGAAACAAATGCTTCTCATTATAAGCACTTTTTGTACTCTTTTTATTATATATGTAGCTATTACTAGACTTTAATGAAGTTAAAACAAAAACCTATTTAGGTGTGAATAGTTTTAAGTTGGGACCAACCCTTGATATAACTTACCTTGAAGACATTTCCAGCCCCTTTACATGCCGGCTTACAGCCTTCTCTGGATATTTTCTCCCAATATCTGAGGGTTTCACTGCCCTCCTGCTCCTGGTTTCTCTGACCTTTACTAAGAAATATCTCCTCATCAGTTGTTTCCTGCTCCTTAGCTTTGATCATCACAAAATTAGCCTATTCTTGGTCCCATTCTAAAAATGCCTTCTTGATCCATAGTAAAATTTAGTAATAATCTAGTAAGTAAAATTCCTTTCCTTTTTTTTTTGTTCGCATGCCTGCCAAGATATTAAGACATTATTTAATATGTTATTTAGGAAGATGAGATGGGGTGGGTTATGTGTGTTTTTGTTTTGTAGTTGTTTTTTAATCTCAAAACCAGAGGATTACATTGATTGGACTCTTCATTTTGGAGGGCATTATTATTATGGTTCATGCAAATCCCCTTCTCTGATTAATTTATTCTCTTTTGTTTTCATTTCCCACTCCCATTCTCTCCTCACCCTGATAATTTTTTTTTTTTAATATTGAGCTCAAAGGGATTAATCTGTGTTAGCAGACTGTCAGGCACTAATACAGATGGGGGAGGATTACTTGGGAGTATGTGGTGTGTGCTTCTCAAGGCACATAAAACCATATCATCTTCACAGGGTCATTTCATTCTTTCATGTAATGATTCAGTAGTCAATATTTCCTGGGAGCCGGGCTCGGTGGCTCAGCCTGTCATCCCGCACCTTTGGGAGGCTGAGGTGAGTGGATTGCCTGAGCCCACGGTTTGAGACCCGCCTGGGCAGCAAGACCTCATCTCTACAATAAATCAAAAAAATCAGCCGGGCGTGGTAGTGCATGCCTGTAATTCCGGCTACTTGGAAGGCTGAGGCGGAAGGATCGCCGGAACCCATCAGGTCGAGGCTGGGGTGGCCGGGAGTGGCCACTGCACTCCAGTCTGGGCGACAGAGTGAGACTCCAACTCAAAAAAAAAAAAAAAATTTCCTGGGGTCTCAAATAGTTGTTGAGATAAATGCTTTCTTATTACAAGATCTCTTTAACTTGATTTAAACAGGGCTTATTTATTTAGCACAGCCCCAAGTATGTGGGTGTGTAATAAACATTAATCATGTGATTATGAGGATGATAATGTAAAACTTCTATAGAGTTAAGGTAAGAATTGTAGACAATTTACATTCTTACAACACAGATGAGACTCTTTAAATTATTTTGGCAGTTTAATATCTATAACCAACATGTTGAAATGAGAGAAGCATGTAGCCTACCAGTAGCTATAAACAATTATTCCCACTAGTACTAACTCATATCCACCAATAACATTACATAACCCACACAATTTCTACTTCCAAGAAGTGCAGCATGTTATTTTATATTTCCTGTATCTCATTTATTCCATAAAACTTTTCCGATGATAAAAAACACTGGCATTAACATTCAATCAGAAGTACATTACTTAATGCAAACAATGATTTTCTAAGTAGAGAAAAATATTGTGCATCTTTCTGTAGATTAGGGTATGGTTTGCAATTACATTTAAAATTTTCTTCCCAGCCGGGCTCGGTGGCTCAGCCTGTAATCCTAGGGCTTTGGGAGGCTGAGGTGAGTGGATTGCCTGAGCCCACGGGTTTGAGACCCGCCTGGGCAACTTGGTGAGACCTCATCTCGACAATAAATCAAAAAATCAGCTGGGTGTGGTAGCGCACGCCTGTAGTTCCAGCTACTCGGAAGGCTGAGGTGGAAGGATTGCCGGAGCCCAGCAGGTCGAGGCTGCGGTGGCCAGGAGCGGCCGCTGCGCTCCAGTGTGGGTGACAGAGTGAGACTCCAACTCAAAAAAAAAAAAGTTTTCTTCCCAAAGATGATGAAAATGATTGAATTAAAAATCATAAAAGACAAAAACTAGCTTCTGTTTTTTCTATATTCTATTTCTTTTGTACATCTAAATAGAGTCTGGATCTTACCTTTGTATCATTTTACATAACTCATATATCTATATTTTTCTTGTATTTTTGTTATTGTCTACAAGAAGCCTACTAAAAAAAAAAACTTAAAAAAAAATCCAACTTGGAAATTCTCCCCTACTAGCTTACAAACAACCTGGAGCAAGATCTTTTGATTTCATCTATATGTGTTTCTCTCAAGTTCAGTGTCTTGTTTATAAATATTGCTTGAAGGAGTGAATGCAACTTTTCCATTATGTAGTTATTTTATAATTGATTTAAAGTAACTTCAAAAAGGTTTAATTAAACATGGAAACAGTTGTCTTCCAAATAGGGTCTCACCTTTATTATTTGTGATGCTAGTACGTGACCAGCAGTACCGGTGAAATATCAAAGTATAAAAAGAAAGAAAAAGAAAGGAAGACAGGCTTACCTATATTAAACTCACTTAAGGCAAAAATAGAGAAGTTGGTATTTTTGGAGTAGTAATAGTGTTACGTATTTTGTGATGCAGACACAATTTTGTTATAAATATTTTTATAGCACGAGGTCGTGTAAGTTTGAATCCAGGCTCTGCTGCCCGTTGTGAGACCTCGGTCAAGCTACCCGATCCTGCCAAGCCTTACCACCTTTGCCTGTGGATGGCATAGTAACATCCGCCTCTAGAATGGCTGTAAATAGAACAAAGCTAACTCAACACAGCACCAACCGAGAGCTCAGGACGGCGCCTGTCATTAAAAATAAGCGAAGCCGATCACTCTGATTCACTAAAAGCAATACAGACGCACAGGGATGAGCAATCATTCTTTGGCTCATGCAAGGTTGGTACTGCCGGGCGCGGTGGCTCTCGCCTATCACCCCAGCCCTTTGGGAGGCCGAGGCGAGAGGACTGCCTGAGCCCACCGGTTCGAGACCAGCCCGGGCGACTTGGAGAGCCCTCATCCCGACGATCAAAATCAAAGAAAGGGCCGGGCGTGGCGGCGCTCGCCTGCTAATTCCAGCCACGTGGAAGGCCGAGGCGGAAGGATCGCTTGAGCCCAGCAGGCCGAGGCTGCGGTGGCCGTGAGCTTGCCGCTGCACTCCAGCCTGGGCAAAAGAGTGAGGCTCCAACTCAAAACAAACAAATAAAAACGGTAGGTATTAGCGAGGCGTGTACAGTAGTCAGACTCTAGGTATTATTTTCGGATCTCACGGCGCAGACTAATTATACACCGAACTAGGAAAAGACGCAGCCTCCTAAGGCCTTGCTTATAATGGGCAGGGCGAAACATCGCCTCCAACAAGATCCTTTAGGTAACGCAACCTTTCTTTGTTTGGAGAAAGAGAATGTTGTACCTCACAACGTCAGCAGGGAGCCCGAGGACAAAGCACGGCTTTGGAAAACAAGCCCGCATCCCCCAAAGGCCCAAAACACACGGACCAGGCCACCCGGAGACAAGCCGGCAGACCTCCACGCTGCTGCCGGATTCCGAGGCGCTCGGCGCGCGCGCCAGCAGCGCGACAGGGGCGGGGCCGCGGCCGTAAAGCAGCGCCGCGAGGCCACGTGGCCCGCCGGGAGGCTCCGGGCGCCCTTGGAAGTCCCGGCGGCGGCGGGTCATGGCCGGCCCCATGCAGGGCGGCGGGGCCAAGGCCCTGGACCTGCTCCGGACCCTGCCGCGTGTAAGCCTGGCCAACTTGAAGCCGAGTCCCGGCTCCAGGAAACCGGTAAATGGCTGATGGCGGTGCGGGGCAGCGCTGGGGACCGGGGCGATGGAGACGGCCCGTCTCTCCCCGGCGTTCCGGAGACCTGCCCTCTCTGGAAGGGGGTTTGGCAGAACGCAGGGTGGCCAGGTCCTTGTTCCTTGCTGCGTAGAGGAAGGTCGTTCCGCATTCTCCCAATTCTCGATTGCAGATTATGTGTACAAGCATAAAGGTGTCGGAAGAGTAGACTCTTAGGAACTGCAAAACGGTCGTGTCATTCAAAATTGGGTTTAAGGCCGGGCGCGGCGGCTCACGCCTGTAATCCCAGCGCTTTGGGAGCCCTAGGCGGGAGAGTCGCTCGAGCTTCGTTCGAGACCCGCCTCTCTACGGCATAAAACGAATAAAACTGGATTTAAAACGTAGTGCTTTCCCTGCGTATCTGTATGTTAATTGGAAAGATCTGAATCGCAGCTGTCTCTTCTGCCACTCCCTGAATACAGCTAGAAAAGCTGTTAATTGGCTACGTATTGACAGTCGTTTAAACTTTGTTGCGGATATTCTAGAATTTTTTTTGTCTTCCAGTTTCAGTCTGTTGTAGAAAACTTAACCCCCTTCCATCCTAGGATCTTTGCCTTTGCTACACCGTTTGGACTCGATTAAGAGAATAGGTTAAGTCTTCAGAGGCAAAGATGCGAACTAACAAAGTGTGTGGATATTTGACCAGCTGGGGCAGTGCTTGGCACCCAGTAGTGTTAGCTAGTACTGGTGGGTTGGATGAATTAATAGCATCTCGAAAAGGTATATAGTGAAGAGGTGAAATACAGTTTTAAAAATGCATCTGAAGATTATAAAACTCTCTTCTTACCTTGTAGGAGAGACGACCAAGAGGTCGGAGAAGAGGTAGAAAATGTGGGAGAGGCCATAAAGGAGAAAGGCAGAGAGGAACCAGGCCTCGCCTGGGCTTTGAGGGAGGCCAGACTCCGTTTTACCTACGAATCCCGAAATATGGGTTTAACGAAGGACATAGGTAAGGTTACTTTGTTTTTTTGAAGTACACATCTCTAATTTCCATTGAGAATCACCTAAAAAATAGTTTGTTAGAAATTTTAGATTCACTTTGAAGCAAACTTGCTACTGTTCATCTGAACCATTTTTTAGTAATGAAATTTAGCCTGGATTAATAGGAAGGAAAAACAGCCTAGATGTTGCACTGAGACCTGCAAAATGAAGATTATAATGTCTCCTCTATGGTTGTTTAGGAAATTAGCAATAATATACAGTATATATAAAAACCTGGCCATTGTAGTCACCCAGTAAATAACTCATTATTATTTTGCATTCCGTTAATCGATAACTTAGATACTAAGTTAAATTTTCCATAAATTTCTTTGTGTAAATGTGTGAATAAATGCTTAGGAGAAAAATAATTTTTGGTGGAACAAAAGAAGTCCTGGTTTTGTTTCCTACCCCAATTCAAGCAATGTTAGATGCTTGTGTTGCATTCAGGAGGGTTTTGTTTGGTTACACCATCAAAGCTGATGGAGGAAAACCCTGGACAAAACTTTGATTTGATGTGGGGAAGTTATAGGAAGATTAGAGTTTTCCAACTGTTACACTCTTATTTTGTAGCTTCAGACGCCAGTATCAGCCCTTTAGTCTCAACAGATTGCAGTATCTTATTGATTTGGGTCGCGTTGATCCTTCTCAACCTATTGACTTAACCCAACTCATCAATGGGAGAGGTGTGACGATCCAGCCACTTAAAAGGGATTATGGTGTCCAGCTGGTCGAGGAGGTGAGTCTGGGTTAGTTCTTTTGGTGTTATGTCCAAGGATACTTTTGGCTGGGTACAGTGGCCCATGCCTGCAATCCCAGCACTTTGGAAGGCCATTGGGGGTGGGGGGATCACTTGAGGCCTGGAGTTCAAAGTTGCAGTGAGCCATGAGCCATTGCACTTTAGTCTGGGCAATAGAGGGAGACCTGACTCTTAAAAGAAGAAAGAATACTTTTGACTTCTATATAATGAACACTCTACCCTCTTTATTTTTAATCCCATTCGTGTTCATAACCTTTATGAGGGGCAATCCCCCAAAAAAACTGCAGTAGTTTTTGGGAGGCCAGGCCCCTTGTGCTATAGGCTTCCCCTGCTGGATAAGTGCTCTAAGAACCCGTTGACATCAGTATATCAGCTCGCATTGTTGTGAGAGGCTGCGTTTGGCTTCAGTGAATTTTTTTTGGAGCGTCTTACCCCACGGTTGCCCGTTTCATGATGGGAGGTTTATGAGCACAGCTGCCCACCCCACACTGAGTGTTTGGTGGTTTTTGACCAAAAGTGGATGATCCTTATGCCTCACACTCCCTTTTCACCTGATTTCACCCCAAGTCACATTTTTTTTTGTTTCCCTGGATGAAAAAAGTCTTCAAAGTGAAATGTTTTGCCTATGTGGAAAAAGTGAAACAAAAAATGGCAGAAGCACCAAAAGGCATCAAAATGGATGAATTTAAAAACTGTTTTGAGCTGTGGAAAAACATCTCAATAGGTGTATTGGATCAAATGGAGAATACTTTGAAGGCGACTGAAATTTAAACATGTAAGAATAAACACACAATTTTTTATAAATAAATTCCAGGTATTTTGGGAATCTCTCCAAAAAAATCACTACGTATTAGTGATTTTGTTAGAACCTGCTGTCAACATATCAGGAAGTCTTTTTTGGACAGCCTTTTATGAAAGATTGCTTGTTCTACCTCCTACAGTCATGCATTTTCCTTTGGATATACATGAACACCTTACATTTATTATGAAGTTATGCATTTCTTTTTTATTGCCTTTTTTACTAGAGTGTGAGCTTCCTTGAGGGCAGGTACTTTGATTCATTGCTGTATTTTCAATATTGGAAATAATGGCTTGTGATAATCACTCAACTAATATTTAAGAAGGAAAGGAGTAAATCAAATCTAATTCTGATTGCAGAAAGTTTTATTTTTACAGGAATTGGCTAGGCGTTCATAAGCAAATTTTAATCAACTGTTAATTAAACTGTTGGTTGTTAATCAACTATTGTTTCTTGTTAGTTGATATTATTGTCGTATAGGTAACAGTGTCCACGAGAAGGAAGCATAGATTAGATTCCTTTGAAAAAGTGAACATTATGGATAAAAGCTTTCCAAATAAACTAATTTGAAAAGAGAATACCAAATACAAGATTAATCCTCAGTGTTTTACTCTTAGTGTATGAGGAAGTAACTTAACATAACACACGCAACTTAACATATGGAAAAATCTATGACCTCATCAGCCCTTAAACTGCCTCTCCCAGCTTCTGACAGGTGTTTGTCTGTTTAAGGAGCAGAATAATTCTGAAAATTCTACCCCAGGGCAGTGATTGAGTAAGGGCAATTACACATAATTTTCAGCTCTGTAAATTGGCACACATCTTCTGGATTCCCGATTTGCAATAAATAGTGAATGATAAGTTTTAATCCTTCAGCACAAAATTACCAATTTGGAAATATATGTTCTCAAGGAAAAGTGAAGTAAGAGGAACCTGATATAAAAACATTTCTAAAAATGTTATTTATAAAACTGAAAATAATGGCTGGAACACGCCTATAATCCCAGCGCTTTGGGAAGCATGGGGGGAGGATCCATTGAAGCCAGGAGTTCTAGCCCAGTCTGGCCAACATAGTGAGACCCCATCTCTACAAAAATATATTTTTTAAAGTGTGTGTGTGTATATATATATATATTTAAATCTAGTCTAACATTGAAGCTAAAGTCTACAAAAATTTTTTTTAATGAACTGAGAAGGGTAGCGTGCACCTGTAGTCCTAGCTACTCAGGAGAATGAGACAAGAGAATTGCTTGACATGAGGAGTTTGCGGCTATAGTAAGCTATAATTGTGCCACTATACTCCAGCCTGGGCAACAGAGTGAGAACCTGTCTCTCTGTTTTTTGAGTTGGAGTCTTACTCCATCGCCCAGGCTTGAATGCGGTGGCATACTCAAAGCCACCCCAGCGTTGGCCTGCCAGGCTCAGATGATCCTTCCGCCTCAGCCTTCTAAGTAGCCTGAACTACAGGCATGCGTTACCTCACCTAATTTTTGGATTTATTGTAGAGACAAAGTCTCATCAAGTTGCCCAGGTAGGTCACAAACCCCTGGGTCTTGGCCTCCCACCACACCCAGCTGAGAACCTGTCTCTTAAAAAAAAAAGCACCAAGAAAAAACTACTCTAGCATTGACAGCAGTGCTCAAGAATAGGGAGATAGTTAAGCAAACTATGAATTGCTTAAATATCACAAATAATATGGCAAGATCCTATTGTATTGAATCAAAGGTGCCATTGATTATAAATGTTCATAATATCAGGTATTAAAAATGTGTGTTAGAATTGATGGGGTTTTTTTTTTTGAGTCCAGTTCTCATTTTGTTGCCCAGGCTGGAGTAGCACAATCACGGCTTACCACAGTCTCGACTTCTTGGGCTCAGGGTATCCTTCTGCCTCAGCCTCCTGAGTAGCTGGGACTATAGGCGTATGCCACCACGCTTGGCTAATTTTCTGATTTTTTAACAGAGATGAGGTATTGCTATGTTGCCCAGGCTGATCTCGAACTCCTGGACTCAAAAAGTCCTCCAGCTTCAGCCTCCAAAGTGCTGGGATTACAAGTGTGAGTCATCATGCCTGGCCTGGAATAGTTTTTAAATAATTGAAAAGTTCAGCCAGGCACAGTGGCTCAAGCCTGTAATCCCAGAACTTTGGGAGGCCGAAGCGAGAGGATTGCCAGAGCCTAGGGGTTCAAGACCAACCCGGGCAACTTGGTGAGACCTCAACTCTACAATATGTCAAAAAAAATTTGCCAGGTGTGGTAGCATATGCCTGTAGTTCTGGCTACTTAGATGGCTGAGGTGGAAGGATCACCTGAGCCCAGCAGGTCGATACTGGGGTGACCGTGAATGTAACACTGTACTCTAGCTTGGATGACAGAGTGAGACTCTTGACTTCCCGCAAAAATAAATAAAAAATGAAAAGTTCATAATTGATCAAAGGAGTTAGATTGGGAACCAGATGTTTCAACTATACCAAAATAGCAAATACTTTTGTTGTCACAGAGTGGTAATGCTGCCATCTTTTTATTTTTTATCAGGATCTGTTTTGAAACTAGAGAAAAATATAGCATCTCCTAACTAATGTGATTAAAAACACCACTTTTTTGAGTTGGGGTCTCACCTTGTCACCACAGTCTCTGGACTCAGATGATCCTCCCACCTCTGCCTCCTGAGCTGGGACTGTAGGTATGTGCTACCACACTTGATTACTTTATTGTAGAGACGAGGTCTCACAGTGTTGTCCAGTCTGGTCTCAAACTCCTGAGCTGAAGCAGTCCTCTTGGCCTTCCAAAGTGCTAGGATTACAGGCATGAGCCACCATGCTCAGACAATAACTTTTAAGTGTTCAGAATTAAATTTTCTTTTTTGTTGTTGTTGTTGTTTTTTGAGTTGGAGTCTCACTCGGTAACCCAGACTGGAGTGCAGTGGCCGCTCCCGGCCACCGCAGCCTCAACCTGCTGGGCTCCGGCGATCCTTCCGCCTCAGCCTTCCAAGTAGCTGGAATTACAGGTGCGCGCTACCACGCCCGGCTGATTTTTTTGATTTGTTGTCGAGATGAGGTCTCACCAAGTTGCCCAGGCGGGTCTCGAGCCCGCGGGCTCAGGCAATCCTCTCACCTCAGCCTCCCAGAGGCGTGGGATTACAGGCCGAGCCACCGAGCCTGGCTCAGAATTAAATTTTCTATTGTTGAATGTAGTCAGTGGTGATGAAACTGAATTTCTGTTTGCTTTTATCTTTTTTCCTAGAGGGGGCTGACCCTTCCAAAGCGCAGATTTTGTCTGATACTCTTGTTTTTCCACCTGCTGCAGCTCTATGCCTCCCGCCTCTCTAGCGTCCTCCTAGTTTCTTGCTTACTTGGGGATAAGGAAGATGCGTTTTTGTCTACATCGTACAGCGAATGTTGTGGTTAAGAACACAGGTGCTGTGACTAGACTCCCCAAATTAGAATCCTAGCTTTACGATCTTGGGTATATTACTTAGCCTCTCTGTGTTTGTGTTTCCCCTATGAAGCTGGTAGAGCAATAATCCTGTCACAGGGTTGTTTTGAAGCTTAAACAATCAACTATAAATGAAATACCAGGAATGGCTGTGTATAAAGGTGCCTACTGAATACAGTAAAGCAGAAATGTAGTCATTTTTACTTATAGAGATTGAAAATTCATAAAACAAGATGGCCTAAATAAAATGTTAAAAAAATTTTTTTATTAGACCTCAAAGCAAAGATATTTAAAATAGGAATTGTGCCAGGTATGGTGGCTCACACCTGTAATCCCAGCACTTTGAGAGACTGAGGCAAGAGGATTGCCTGAGCCCGGAGTTTGAGAACAGCTTGGGCAAATTGGCGAGATCTTGTCTCTACAATAAATCAAAACAAAATTAGCCAGGCTTGGTGCCACATGCCTGTAGTTCCAGCTACTTGGAAGGCTGAGGCAGAAGGATCGTCTGAGCCCAGCAGGTCAAGGCTGCAGTGGCCATGAGCGTGCCACTGTACTCCAGCCTGGGTGACAGTGAGACTCCGACTCCAAACAAGTAAAAATAAAATTGGAATTGCAGTTGTCCCTCATTATCCATGGGGGATTGATTTCAGGACCAAATCTCACCAAAATCTTCAGATGCTTAAGTCCTTGATAAAAGATGATACAGTATTTGCATATAATCTACGCATGTTCTCCTGTATACCTTAAATCACTTCTAGATTATTTATAATGCTCAATATATGTTATGTAAACCTACAGTGATTACACTGTATTTTAAAAACTATTTTTGTATTATTTTTTACTGTTGTATTCCTTTTTTTTTTTCCTCCTGAAACTTTTCCATCCCAGTTGTTTGAATCCATGGGTATGGCATCTGCAGATATGGATATGTAAGTGGCAAGATGGAAAGCTTATACTGTTACATCGTCGTTATGTTGGGGGAAAAAACACAGTTTAAGAAAGGAAGCTCACCAGTGCCTCCCTCCCTCCTTCCCCTACTCCCACCTCTTCCATGTCCCTCCACTTCCCAGATGCATTTTAGCAAGGCTAGGAAGCAGACTGACTTTGTAAAGGGAGGTGCTGGACCTTGAACCTCCACCCAGAGCTGCTAATCTCCCCTGCGCCCCCGCCTTCCTCCGCCAATCCTGCAAGAGTCTCAGCTCCTGTAGGAAGCCCCCACGCCTCTTCTTCCCCAGCAGACCTCTCTTCACCCTTGGGCTTTGGGAATCAGGCAGAGCAGCAGCCCCTCTCCCTGTCAAAGAAAAATCGTCCCCCAAAAAGGCGCAGAGAGAGCGCCAAGCCCACGGTCTCCTCCCAGCAGCATTCTCCCCAAACTCCCTCAATTTTTTCTCAGCCTGATTTTAATGCCTTCTCAGCTCAGCTGGGAAGGTGACTGCAAAAGGACATGGAAGAGGCAAAGTCTCCCCCACCCCCATGGTCCAGGATTCAAGGCCAGGGTTGCTGGGGTGGGACTGCCTGTTTCGTTCACCCAGCAGCTTCTGTCCCCCCACCCCCACCCCAGGCGCACCTCCTCCAGCTTAGCTGTCCATCACCCCCTGCTTCTTTGTGCTCTTCTCTCAGTGGAACAGTGGGGAGCCATCCCCTTCATCCCTGTATCTGTCTCTTTCATAACTTCTCCCCATCCCAGGAGGAGCTCTCAGACCTGGGGTAGAGCCCCTGGGTGGGCACGGGGTGCTGTGTGCTGTGGATTTCCTCTTTTTTTTTTTGTTGAATCGGAGTCTCTCTCCTTTGCCCAGGCTGGAGTGCAGTGGCACGCATGCTCACGGCCACCCCAGCGTCAACCTGCTGGGCTCCGGTGATCCTTCTGCCTGCCTCAGCCTTCCGAGGAGCCGGAACTAGGGGTGCACGCTACCACGCCCGGCTATTTTTTATTTTATTGTAGAGATGAGGTCTCACCAAGTGACCCAGGCTGGTCTCAAACCCGCGGACTCAAGCAGTCCACTCGCTTCGGCCTCCCAAAGTGCTGGGTTTATAGGCTGAGCCACTGAACCGGCCAGATTTCCTCTTGAACAGTATGCTGTTGTAAACATATTTGAAAGCTATTACCAATAAAGTTTTGCTTTAAAAAAAGGAAGCTTGCCATAATTAATTTACTTTCAGCCAAGCTGTTTACTGACAGATTGTTTTGACCTATTACAGGGTGCTGACACATTTAAGGCGAAAGTTAATATTGAAGTCCAGTTGGCTTCAGAACTAGCTATTGCTGCAATTGAAAAAAATGGTGGTGTTGTGACTACAGCCTTCTATGATCCAAGAAGTCTGGGTAAGCTGCTCTGTGGTCATTTTCTCCTTTCTCTGTCTCTTATTGGCTGCTGCTTTTTAATTTCTTTTCTTTTTTATTTATTTATTTTTTTAATTTTTTTTTTTGAGTGGGAGTCTCACTCTGTCGCCCAGACTGGAGTGCAGTAGCCGCTCCTGGCCACCGCAGCCTCCACCTGCTGGGCTCTGGCGATCCTTCCGCCTCAGCCTTCCGAGTAGCCGGAATTACAGGCATGCGCTACCACGCCTGGCTGATTTTTTTTGATTTATCGTAGAGATGAGGTCTCGCTGCCCAGGCAGGTCTCGAACCCGCAGGCTCAGGCAATCCACTCACCTCAGCCTTCCAAAGGCGCGGGATTACAGGCTGAGCCACCGAGTCCAGCTTTAATTTCCTTTCTTTTCTTTTTTTTTTTTTTTGAGTTGGAGTCTCACTCTGTCACCCAGACTGGAGTGCAGTGGCACGCTCCCGGCCACCGCAGCCTTGACCTTCTGGACTCCGGCAATCCTTCTGCCTCAGCCTTCCAAGTAGCCACAACTACAGGCGCACACTTCCATGCCTGGCTAGTTTTTGATTTGTTGTAGAGACAAGGTCTCGCCAAGTTGCCTGGGCGGGTCTCGAACCTCTCGCCTTGGCCTCCCAAAGTGCTAGGATTGCAGGCTGAGCCACCGAGCCCAGCCTTTAATTTCTTATTGAATAGCAAATGTTGGTCGTTGTTGTTTCATCTGCATCTATCCTGTGGATTGTGGTGTCAAGAATAAAGCATGCAGCTGACAGATACTCCAAAGGGCAAATGGTTCAGCCTTTTCCCTGAACTCCAGACTCGCATCGGCGTGCCTGGCATCTCCCCTTGAATGTCTAGTAGGATCTCAAACTTGGCGAGCCTGAAACGTCTCTTTCCTGTTTCACCGCTGTCGGCTCTTTTTCCTCTTTTCTAAGTATATGAGCTCCATCTTTCTGGTTTTTTAGTTCAAAATTTGGAGTCCTCTGGGCTCTTTCTTTCGTGCCCTAGTACATCCTGTGAGCTCTGTCTTCAAACTGTGTCTGCAGTCAGCTGCTTCTCCAGCTGCTGCCAGTCTGATCCCAGCCACTGCCTACTGCCTGTATGACTGTGGAGACTTGTCGGTGGCCTCTCTGCTGCTGCTCCTGCCTGCAGTGTAGGGACACAGCATGGGGTTCCTTTTAAAGCATGGACTGTCGCTGCACAAAACCTCCACTGGCATCTGTGCTACTCACACGAGGCGAGGTGTGGTCTATGCCACCTCCTGCCACCCCTCCTGTCGCTCCTTTGCTTGCTCTGTTCCGTTGCTGGCTGGCTGCCTGCCCTGGCCTTCCTCTCCACGCCAAGCCCCTTGTACCTTCGGCCTCAGCCTCTGCCTCTGCTGTTCCCTCTGCCTGGATTCTCCTCCACATAGAATCTTCATGGCTTTGGGCTCCACTCCTCCAGGTCCCTGCCTGCTGGGGAGATCCTTCCTGCCTGTACTAAATAAAAGAGCACAGGAGCACACACACACGCAGGCACGTGCATGCACATACATACTCTCAGCCACATTACTGTCGCTTGCCTAGTTGTGTTTGCCCTTGGCTGCTGTCACTAGTGGGCGAGATGTAAGTTCCTTTTCGTCTTTCCTTTCATTCTCTTTCCCTTCTCATTTTGTTCACTGCTGTATCTCCAGCATGTAGAGCAGTGCCTGGTGTCGAATAGAGGCACAATTAAAATTTACTGAATGAATGAGTGAATTGGATTTCTTGGTTTGCAGAGATGAAAACCAAAAGTAGGTAGTTGTCTTCTTTTTTTTTTAATTAGAGACGTGATCTTTATCAACAAGCTGGAGAGCAGTGACGTGATCATGGTTCACTGCAGCCTCAGACTCCTAGACTCAAGCAATCCTCCTGCCTCAGCCTCCCAAGTAGCTAGCTGGGACTACAGGCATGAGCCACCATGCCCAACTAATTTTTTGTTTTTAATTTTTGTAGAGATGAGGTCTCGCTATGCTGCTCAGGTTGGACTTTTTTTTTTTTTTTTTTTTTGAGTTAGAGTCTCACTACGTTGCCCAGGTTAGAAGTGCAGTGGCATGCTCACAGCCACTGCAACCTCCACCTGCTGGGCTCAGGTGATCCTTCCGCCTCAGCCTTCCAAGTAGCTGGAACTACAGGTATGTGCCATCATGCCTGGCTAATTTATTTTTTTAATTTATTGTAGAGATGAGGTCTCACCAGGTTGCCCAGGCTGGTATCAAACCTGTGGGCTCAGGTAATCCTCTTACCTTGGCCTCTCCCGCCTTGGCCTCCCAACTGTTGGGATTACAGGCATGGACCACCACACCCGGCCTAAATGCTTTTACAAAGGATTCTTTGGTGCTTTTGCATTCAAATGACCAAGTTGCTCAATTAGATGAAAATTCTGGTCTGGCGCTGTGGCTCCCGCCAGTAATCCCAGCACTTTGGGAGTTCAGGCTATCCGCCTCCCACCCCAGCTTCCCAAGTAGCTGGGACTATAGATGCATGCCACCACACCTGGCTAATTTTTTTTTTTTTTGAGTTGGAGTCTCACTGTCACCCAGACTCGAGTGCAGTGGCTGCTCCCAGCCACCGCAGCCTCGCTTGCTGGGCTCCGGCGATCCTTCCACCTCAGCCTTCCGAGTAGCCGGAATTATAGGCACGCGCTACCATGCCTGGCTCATTTTTGGATTTTTATTGTAGAGATGAGGTCTCGCCAAGAGACAAGGTCTTGCTGTCTTGCTGTGCTGCCCAGGCTGGAATACTATTGTTTTTAAGTTTTCAGTAAGTTCTTTAGTACTGTTTCATTTATGTTTCTAGCTTGGGTTAGGGTTACATTGCTAAAGCATGATGAGTAGGGCATCATTGTATCCATAGAATTATCTATTTGTGTAATTGTTTTCTAGACGTCCTAAAGGCCCTGTAGCATTGCAATATTTTATGCATAGGCCTTTTCTCACTACCTTGCCTTTGGAGAACATTTTTAGTTACTTCAAAAAGTTTAAAAAAAAAACTGGGATTATGCATTATTCCTTTGACTGGCTTCACATGAGATTTCTTTGCCTGCTCTCTAGTTAAGAGGATTCATTTGAGTAACTGATTTTCCAGAAATCTTTAGCTTCTTCCTAATTTCTAAACAGGTAAGTTCCATATGCAGATTTTAAGCCTTAATGTTTCTTTTTTTAAAAAATCTGATATTATTTTTGACATGTAAGGGAGATCTGACAAACTTCTTGGCTCTTTGACTTGCAGTTTGGACACCTTGGTTTTCTGTTTTAAGATTTTCTATTAGTGGTGTGATTTATTCTAATACAGCACAGACAATACATCATAAAAATGATTTATTTTTGTGTTGTTAAACATAGGGCTTAAATACAATGTTGGTAACTCAGGGGAGTAACTTTGCCTTTCAAGATGGACTATTGGCTGGGTGCTGTGCCTCACACTTGTATCAGTACTCTGAGAGACTGAGGTGGAAGGATTATTTGAGCCCAGGAGGCTGTGGTAAACCAGGATCATGTCACTGCACTCCAGCCTGGGCAACAGGGTGAGAACCTGTCTGGAAAAAAAAAAGATATAGACTATTGAAAATGAGGCATTTCCATTTCCTTATATAAGACAAGCCTATTTTAAAAATAGGTTCTTGGGGCCGGGCTCGGTGGCTCAGCCTGTAATCCCAGCACTTTGGGAGACCAAGGCGAGTGGATTGCCTGAACCCACGGGTTCGAGACCGCATCTCTACAATAAATAAAAAACTAGCCGGGCGTGGTAGCGCACACCTGTAGTTCCAGCTACTTGGAAGGCTGAGGTGGAAGGATTGATGTAGCCCAGCCGGTCGAGGCTGCGGTGTCCATGAGCATGCCACTGTACTCCAGTCTGGGTGATGGAGTGAGACTCCAACTCAAAAAATAAATAAATAAATAATAAATAAAAATAGGTTCTTGGAATTAAGTTCTCGTCTCAGTAATATTTTAAAATTAATAATTAAAAGAAAATCTGTAACAATCATTATGTGTAGAGCTAATATTTGCATCTCTCTGTTTAAACTTAAATCTTGTTTTAGAAATTCTATGCAAACCTGTCCCATTTTTTCTTCGTGGACAACCTATTCCAAAAAGAATGCTTCCACCCGAAGAACTGGTACCGTATTACACTGATGCAAAGAATCGTGGTTATCTGGCAGATCCTGCGGAATTTCCTGAAGCAAGACTTGAACTTGCCAAGAAGTATGGTTACGTTTTACCTGACATCACTAAAGATGAACTCTTCAAAATGCTCTGTACTCGAAAGGATCCAAGGCAGATTTTCTTTGGTCTTGCTCCAGGATGGGTGGTGAATTTGATAGATAAGAAAATCCTGAAACCTACAGATGAGAATCTCCTCAAGTATTACAGCTCATGAGTTCCCCTCCAAGAAAGCAGAGTTGAGAAGGAGGGACAGAAAAGGAACCAGAAGATCTGTATTTCTCATTGCATTTTCCTCATGTGTAGTTCTCCAGAAGTTGATGTTAGTTTTCAGTGTAATCCTATCTTTTTCATTTTCATCTAAAATTCAAGTAAAATTACAGGAAGTAAGAAGTGCATAGAGAACTGAGTCTATGTAGGTTCTGTGTCAAAGATATAAATTCTCTGGTGGCCTGTGGAAGGAAAATTATAACTATTTTAGAATATTTCTAGTCTGTTTCTTCATGCTTTTCACTCAGGCCTTGTCTTGTTACTGTCATAATTTAGGATGAACGCCCAAGGGAGAGGGATTGATTTGTTGGCCAGCTCTGCCAGGGTTAGAACAGATACTGATGAGTTGGTGGCCCTTCTTATTCAGTGACCTTAGGGAAGCCCTGCTACCCGGTGTCAGGATGGTGACCCGTTAGCTTCTAAAGAATGAGATCAGGAATGTGAGTTTAAGGTTTAACGCTGGGGAACAGCTTCTGTGTAGTATATTTGCTACCACATCAAAGACGAGAGAAATAAAAATTACAAGTGAATTTATCTTCACAACTGTGTGATAAAAGAAGATAATAATGATCAAGCCATTAACATTTTTTCTTTAAGATGGTAAATTGCAATTTTAGTTGATACAATTTTTACTTATTCAGGCATTGGAGACCTTTGTCATTTAGTCATTTCACATGGTTTTCAAATAATTTTTAAAATATTATGTAAGTAATAAAAACAAGTGGTAATGTGAAAATTTAATGTAAAAGGTTAAGATGTTAGTAAGGTTATTTAGCGCTTGAAAGGTCCTTTTTTCCAAATCATATGAAAGCTTAATTTACCTCGTACAATTAAAGATTTATCTTGATAATTAATGATAATTCTTCCACAGTAGAAATCAAATGATTCTTGGCTGTTTATTTTATTAAGTTAAAATAAAAAACCTAAACAATGCAATGCTTTTTTTGTTAACTTATCTTCCTTAAATATTGCTAATCTGGGATTCAGTTTATAAAGTAATTTATGTACCAAGAGCATATTTCAGTTTCCTTCCAGAATTATGTAGTTTGGCTTGTTAAAGCCATTCCTTAAAACCTAGAACTATTCATTCATTCATTCATTCATTCATTCATTTATAGTTGGAGTCTCATTCTGTTGCCCAGGCTTGAGTACAGTGGCAGCACGTGCCACCATGCCCAGCTAATTTTTTGATTTGTTGTAAAGATGAGGTCTCTCCAAGTTGCCCAGGCTGGTCTCAAACCCATGGGCTCAGGCAATCCTCTCACCCTGGTCTCCCAAAGTGCTGGGATTATAGGCGTGAGCCACTGTGCCTGGCCTAAAACCTAGAACTTACAAAGAATCATGACTAAGACCATCTTTTATGATAACATATGAAATCCTATAAATTTCAGAGAATAGGCAAAAATTTTAAAGTATGTTTTTATTTTTCAGAAACCCACGTGACAGAGTCGATATGTTAGGATTAGTTTGGACTCCACTGTTAGGAACTCCAAATCACAGTGCTTAAGTGAGATAAAGTTCATTTCTCTCACAGATGAAGTGTCCAGTTCTGTTCAGGGCTGATTGCTGGCTCTGCTCTACCAAAGCCTCGCAGCCAAAGTCGTCTTCCTGTTTATCTCTCCTGTTCCTAGAGTGACATGCTCATTTTCTTGATCCAAATAGGCATTAGCAAGGAGCAAGCCATCTCTAAGGAAGGTTCCCAGAAGCTGTCACACAGACCTCACATTTATATTCTGTTGTCTAGAACTTTGATACAGTCACTTTCTTCTGAAGGGGACCAAAGTCTTTACTTTGGCAGTTTATCTTCGGAGCTAAAAAATTACAGTGAGTAGATATGAGAGAGCGGATATGTTGCACAACCAGCAAGGAAATTGACACCTATTTGGTATTGACACCTCAACTCAGGTTGATATGTTAGGTGAACACAGGAAAAGTGCAAAATTCTACCACCTGGAATACTGAGTTCAGTAGGTTACATAATAAGTTGGTTAATTTGTCAATCTTCATATGTAAAGTATTTTTGAAGAAGAATGATGACAAAGCACCAGAAACCATCTGGAAAGAGGCGTTTACTTTTTTTCTGTTTGTGCTTTTTATAAACGTTTTAAAAATAAAGCCATCTTATTCCTTGTATATTAGGTATATTTGTATTTGAATATAATGTATGGGAGGAGAAATGATAGGGTGCAAAGAAGGTTGCAAAGTAAAGTGCCAGAGTACAAGGATTGTATTTTTATTTTTTATTTTTATTTTTTATTTGAGTTGGAGTCTCATTCTCGCCCAGACTAGAGTGCAGTGGCCACTCCCGGGCAACACAGCCTCAACCTGCTGGGCTCCGGTGATCCTTCCGCCTCAGCCTTCCAAGTAGCTGGAACCACAGGCGTGTGCTACCACGCCTGGCTAATTTTTTGATTTGTTGTAGAAATGAGGTCTCGCCAAGTTGCCCAGGCGGGTCTCGAACCCGCGGCCTCCCAAAGCGCAGGATTACAGGCTAAGCCTCCGAGCCCAGCCTGTATTTTTATTAACTTGCAGTGAGCCAGGAGGAGAATACATTTTCTTCTTGTTAAATCACTGCGAGGGAAAGACCTAAAAAAAACCCAAACCTTCCAGTCATTAAAGTAATTCATGCTTGTTTTAAAGCTTATGTAATATCAAACTGTAAAAAAATAAGCAAAAGTACATGTTCTGTCGCTGTTGCCTGTTCCAACCTACTTCCTAAAGGTGACTAAACCATTGTTTTTATTTTTATAATCAAAAAGATATCTTATTGCATCTAATATATTTTAAAGATGCTTTTTCTTTTCTCTTGGGGTTTTTGAACTGTACTTGCCTTATTGTTAAGCCATTTAAAATAGATTTCATTCGACGAAGTCACTTCACCTTTCTTCCTTTCTTAAACTCTAAAATACAGTGACAATCTTTGTAAAATACAAGGGCTGTGTAAAATGACCTCTTGCACTTGCAATGCATTGATGATAAAGATGTCTTCTTGGGCTGAGGAAAACATCTTTGGCCTCTCAACCTATTTGCATGGAAATGAACTTCCTTAAATTTAAACACATCCTGTTCTGCCGGGCATGAAGTATGGAAATAAACCCAAGAGGTACCTTTTTTTTTTTTTTTTTTTTTTGCCCTGTATTGGAGTGTGCTGGCATCACTCTAGGTAAGCTATCGCCTTGCCTTATTTGGGCTGCAGGGGTTTTTTTGGTGTGTGAATCAGTTCGCGATTGTACTTTTGGAGGGGCTGGTACTGCCTCAACAGGAAAAGTTCTTAATGGGCATGAGGGAGGAAGTTAGTCACTTAAAGGCAGGCTCCACAAGTCTTCCAGACTCAGAATGCCCTCTGAGGACCCTTGGACTCTCCCTCGTCCTCCAAGTAGAATGATGAAGCTACCCAGACAACAACAGTTAGGGCAGGAAAAGGGGACAAACACAACACTTGCTGAACTGTGGTTGTCTTAGGCGGCCTACAGGTGAAAGGAAATTGGGATAGAATGATAAGGAGAACGAAAACAGGAAGCAGATGTCTGGTGACGTGCACTGCCTGGATAGGGCTCATTCAGTGAGCTGGGGCTTAGTCACAAACAGCTGTATCCTGGTCTTAATATTATAATCGTGCAGAGACTTCTCAGCCAAAACGGGCACGTTCCACCAAATCCATCCATGCTGTCTCATAAAGGTAATTCTTAAATTGCTGTATAGCTGGAAGACTCGAGTTCATTTCAGCAAGGCATCAAGGTATTAGTATACTATTGCCCTCAGGCCATTTACAAGGATAGTGGGGGAGAGAGTGCACCAGCAGATGGCAGCTTTATCTTGTTAAGAGTTCTCATCACTTGGAAATCTAACTATAAAAGTAAGAATGCTTCAGTCTAAATCTTGGTCCTTTCCTGGTAGGTGGCTTCTATTTTCAGTATACATGGCTTGTTTGACCACTGAGTTGATATGCATTTTAAAAGATTTCTCAACTCCTTGAGAAATCATTACTATGGATTTCCTGTCTATTGAATTCCTGGATTTTCTTTTTTTGTCTTCTTCTTATAAAATGTAATATTACTTTCTATTCTTTGGGAAATGGAGTGGCCCTGCATGGCTGAGAATATGTTTAGGTAACAGCAGTGTAACCTACTTTAGTTTGTGTCAGAGAATAAAGTGTGCTCTCTGATGTTAGTATAAAGCCCAGAATGAGTGGTTTGATGCTTTGTTGGAGAGACAGCATGGCAGAAATAGCACAGCCTTCTGTGTCCCCAGACCTGGATTTGGATCGATGCTCGGACAGCAGCTGTATGACCTTGGCCATATCACTTAACTGCTCTGTTAGCCGGTGCAGTAGCTCACGCCTATAATCCCAGCACTTTGGGAGATGGAGGTGAGAGGATTGCCTGAGCACAGGGGGTCGGTACCAGCCTGGGCAACTTGGTGAAACCTTGTCTCTACGCTAAATCAAAAAATTAGCCAGGCGTGGTGACATGCTTGTAGTTCCAGCTACTTGGAAGGCGAGGTGGAAGGATCACCTGAGCCCAGCAGGTTGAGGCTGCGGTTGGCTGTGAGCCTGCCACTGCACTCCAACCTGGGCAACAGAGTGAGACTCCAACTCAAACAAACAAAACGACTGCTGTGTTGTCTCACATGTGAAATGGAGATAATACCCACTTCTGTCTGTGGTTGGGCAAATCAGTGAGGTCATCTGTGGAGAGGCACCAAGCTAGAGAGCCAGTTCGCAGAGCCACGTGGCACAGTTTACTTGGGCTCAGATGCCAAAACTAGCTATGTGACCTTGGCACGTTATTTAACCTCTGTGTGCCTCAGATTTACCACCTGAGAAATGGGGGAGAATGGATAAGGTTATTCTGAGAACTGAAAGAAGTCGATATTTAGGCCGGGTGAAGTGGCTTTGCCTATAATCCCAGCACTTTGGGAGGCCGAGGTGAGGGGATTGCCTGAGCCTACGGGTTCAAGACCAGTCCTGGCAACTTGGTGAGACCTCATCTCTACAATAAATCAAAAAATTAGCCGGGCATGGTGGTGCGTGCCTGTAGTTCCAGCTACTTGGAAGGCTGAGGCGGAAGGATTGACAGAGTGAGACTCCGACTCAAAGGAAAAAAAAGTCCAGTATTTATAAGCACCACAACGCCTGGCACATAACAGGGCCTCTTAGTGTTCATGAATCAAGAATGTTCTACTGCCCCTTTTATGTGGTAGCCATTCTATAAAAATATTTCTTTTCTCCTTAAGATTTTCGTGTAGTCTGTGGTCAGGCTTTTATGAATTGTGCTAGTATCTCATTAATGAAAATAAATGCATGCTAAACTTTATTATTTTTGCCAGAATCTATTAAGAGTAGATTCTAAAGAGGGAAGGTGGTGGGGATTAGACCCAGAACCCTGTGCCTGTTTGGATGAAGTTGAATTTCTGACTTAGTCACTGATTTGCTTTTCAGAACATTCCGGTTCCATTAATTCTGGAAAAGACAGAGGAAAAAATTTAATGTTATTTGATTCTAAAAGTTCTATATATTGAAGAAAATCTGGAAACTACAAAAAAGGAAAGAAGAGAACGTATGAATGAAGATTTTGTCCCTGTAATGCTCTGGTTTTTGTTTTTCTCTCTCTCTAGAGATACCTGATTTTTTTCATTTCGTCATTAAGTTTCTTGTGTCTCTCTTTTAGGATGAATTTATAAATATCAAAGTAGTTTAAGTTACTTATATATGAATTTGTGCATTTTCAGTATTGTTTGAAAGATATTTAAATGAAAACATCAGTCCTAGAACTTACATATTATGAGTAGAAAGATTTTATTTTTACCTTTAAAAAAACCCTTAATTTTCCTTTTTGTTAATGGAAGGAAATGTAGCAGGAAAAATAGAGAGATCATGACACCGAGACTATTATAGGAAGTGGCACTTTGTTATGCTGGCTAGCACAGCGGGCTCC